GTGATAACAATGAGATTCGAGCTGGCATTTTATTCAACTGTTCCACAACTGAATATTCGTTATGTTTTACCAGCTTCAAGAATTCACAAACCTCTCTTTTTGATATTGGCTTTAGCTGATCTTCTTCAGGCTTTATCTCTGGATTATTCCGTCTTTCTCTTTCTTTAGCCTTCTTCCTTTTAGCATTCTCTAGCATTTCTGAGGTGTAACATCTCTTACTTCGAGTAATGCCTCCTATACCAGTAATATTGAAAGCATCGGCTTTGAAGACCTATTCTTTTTGTCCCTGAACTATAGTGTCACAACCATATCTCCAGGGTACAGCTTTATCATCTTTATATGGGAAAAGAGTTGAGACTTTAAAAGTTACTGGCCTGGAGAGGAGTTTGTCTATGACTGACTTTAGTTTGTTCCCACATTGAATTGTCACTGGTTTGAGAAATAACTTTTCAGGCCTATCAGTCATGTACACCTTAGTATTTTTCAAGTCTTTTTTTTTTTCGTAGACCTCAATCTGATGTGAATCTAAGAGTTTTTGTACCTCCTGGTGAAACTGCTCACAAGTTTCAATGGAATGACCCACTGCCCCACTATGATACTTACAACTAGTACCAGTTATATATGCTCTATGATAGCTATGTAGACTTACCAGTTGTATCATGTCTGCTCTTCGTAAAATATCAAACAGCTGGCCAAGAGGTGTCTTAATATCTATCACTTCCTTCTTTACACGACACTTCTGTTCTTCACCTATAGCATTCACATTATGATTCGACAAAAGATTACCACTAACATTCGGTGCAGTCATCCCTCCAGTATCAAAGCAAATCATCTCATCTTTGATCAACCATTGTACTTTATGTTTCAGGGTAGTGTAATTTTCGGTAGAGTGACCAGCAATCCCATAATGGTAGTCACAGTGGGCAATAAGATCATACCACTTGGGGTAAGATGGCTTGAGGGGTTCCAATTTACTTGGAGCAATCAAATGGTTGTTGTAGAGCTCCTTATATAATTCCTTATAAGTCATTGGAATTGGGTCAAAAATAGGTTTCTCACGAGTGGTTCGTTGCTCCTGCGAGCCATCAATGGGGTTAGTTGGGCGATTTTGGGGTCTTGAGATAGGTTGAATGTTAGGACTGTACATGGTATTTTGGGATCTATGAGAGGTTTGATAGATTTGAGGGTATAGTGGTTGTGTAAATGGTTGGTATGGGTGAAAGGAAGTGTTATTTACAACAGGGTGATATGACTGATATTCTGGTGGCGGGTAAGGTGAATAACCCCTAAGTTACTGTCTATCAAAGCTCACAGCCTGAGCTTCAATTTTTTTTTCTTCAGGATTCTTTTGCTAGATGCTTCATTTCCTTCTAGCTTGCCATTCTTGATGGTGCTCTCAATGATTTCTCTCGAGATTACCATGTCAACAAAATTTTTGTTGCATTCTCTATCATCTTTTCATGATAGGGAGATTTTAAAGTGCTAACAAACAGCATGTAGTTTTTTTCTCGGTCAGGGGAGATTGTACCTGAGAAGCAATATCCCTCAACCTCTGGGCATACTCTTTAAAAGACTCATTTACCTTTTTCTTCAGATTCTGTAAAGACAAACGATCAGGGGCCAAATCGATGATATGTCGATATTGATTGATAAAATCATGTGCCATATCGCTCCAAGAGCGAATGTGAGTCCTATCCAACTGAACATACCATCTGATCGCAGAGCTAGTAAGACTGTCCTGAAAAACATGCATCAAGAGTTTTTCATCATGTGCATGAGCTGCCATCTTCATGCAATACATGGTGATGTGGGTTTTGGGGCACTTTGTATCGTCATATTTTTTAAATTTTGGTACTTTAAACTTATGAGGAATAACCATATCAGGAACTAGGCAGAGTCCAGCAGCATCAACTGACCCATAAAAGCTAAATCCTTCCACACCTCGTAGCCTCTGCTCTAGCATGCTAATCTTGGAACTTTCCTGAACTTCCACTCTCATCTTTTCCTTCTCTTTTTCTTTTAAATCATCTAGATCAAGAATTGATTCTGCTACTTTTTCAGTGACGACAGGATTTATATAGCTATTATACTGCCCTAGGTTGAAAGCTAATGGCATTCTAGGATATGTTGGATATGTAAAATGTTGTGGCGGGACATCTTGAGCAGAATGTGTTTGAGGTGGACCAAAACCTAGAGGGTACAGAGGGTCAACCACTTCTTGTAATGGGGGGACTTGTACTTTTTTCAACTCTTTTTCCTTTATTCATGTTATTGAGAGCCTCCAAAATCTTGCTTAGCTCACTTTCAATCTTCTCCTGTGCTTTTTCTATCTTTTCAAATCTAAGAGAATTTTTCTGCTCCATTTGCCTTGCTCTGGATCTTGTGTTGAATCGATGGGCAGAGTTTTCGCTAGATGGAGCTATCCTGGAACCTTGAGTACTATATCTTAGAATTAGTAAATTATCATCACATGGTTACTTTGTTAAGTGTAATGAATGAGAATGCAATGAATGAAAAATGCATGTATGTAAAGAACATTTGCCTTAAAACGATATTCAACTAAAAAATTTCATTTATTTCGAAAAAAACTTTGATCTACATTGAGTTTATCATCTTAGAATTATAGCCATAAAATTATTTGATCTGTTCATACTGGGCCTTGGCTTCTTCTATAAAGTTCAACAGAAGCTGTCCATGTTCTCCTACTGGGGCCATTACTTGTCTTAATGCTTCTGTCTCTTTCACCATCTCTCTTGCCTTACATACCCTTTTATGGATTTGGGTTGTTAAATGCTCAATGTATTTCTGCCTTCCTAAGTTCTCTTTTTTACCACACCAGACTTGGTATGATAATTCTCTATGTTCTCTAACCAATATAGTGATATGGTCTCCTTGTTCATCCAACCTTTGACTTAGGCTGCTCAAATAACTGTTTAGCATGTTAATTTCTGCCTGTGCTTCGATACTTTCTTCTTCCAATTCGGCATACTCTTGCTTCGATCTTGTATTTTCCTCAGTCAGCTCGATAATGGTTATCTCTTTGGCTCTTTCTCTCACACATAGCCTCTTATGCTCCTGGCGTAACTTTGCTAGATCTTCAGTAGCTGTATCACGTTCTCTAACAATCTTGTGAACTTTAACTTCATAACTTTCAGCTCTACCTTTCCATTGGGCTTTTTCTTCTTGAAGTTCTTGAATCTCTTTCTTTAACTTGATCTTCTCAAACTTAAATTCTTTTGTTACCAGTTCTAACTCTGATGGTGTCTCTTCAAGTTTTTCTTCTGTTGGTGGTTGAGAGATTTCATAAGTGAATACCATTTCTTGTCTTCTCTTTGTTCTCCAAACCAAGTAACCTGGGGTGACTTTCTCAATGAATGATCCATGACTCACTCTTTGGGGATTTTTCCATGCTTTGATCATCTCATTCATCCTCTGAAATGCTTTAGGCTCACTATAAGAGAAATCTAACTAGTGAAGCCCGTAAGTCATAGGAATGAACTGTTCTCCCCCCAATTACCTTCTCACTAGCAGTGGTGCATAATTTGTCACTCCCCATAAACCCAGAAGCGGAACCACTGTACTATCCCCACATTGGTATAACATAGGCTCACGATTCATTCATGGGGCCAACCATTTCACCCTGGCACTTTTTAATTTTTGTAAGAAAGTTATCCATTCTTGTTTAGACTTACGCTTTGACCACCCACTTTCACAGAATTCCTTGATTGGAAAACGATTACGGATGTAAAGCTTCGAGAAAGTGCCATTTCCTTGTTCAAAATGACTTTTCATCCATAAATACAATAACTGTATGCATCCTATGAAGCGCCCTCTATTCCGACGACAATAACTCAAAGATCTGATAGTTTCTGCTAATATCACCGTTGAAGGATTACAGCCATTGATCACACTTTCGAAGAAATCAACCACCGCTATCTCAATATGTCCCAAAACCTTTGGAAAGATTACCAGTCCATATATAGCCAGGGCAAAT